GGAATAAGGAGACAAACAGTATTGGTACTTGATAGTCAGCTTTGAATCATATCTTAATCTTAATACTTTCTTATTAAGTCTGTATCATAGGAACATGTGTCCTATACAGTAAACACATCACTAAGGAGATTGGGGTTACTAAGTGAATCCTTTTCAGACTACATTTCTTATATTTAGTGGAGATTGTATTCACTCTAGTCAGTGACTGAAAAGCACTAAACACATTTTTAAGTGAAGGAAAAGCTATTTAGCTAATTATCTTAAAATAGCGTTTGATTTTTCCTACATCTCTTGACATCTTTATGATCCTCAGTTAGATATTTTTACATGTAACTCCTGGTTGTAGCTTTAGTTTTCTTTAGAGACCAAGGCATCTAAAGATTGTAGGTATGCCTCTAAAATCATAGGCACAAATTACTTCATTATGAGATTTATATTAACATTTTATTGAAGACCATTACCATGTCCTTTAAAAAAGTACTATATTCAAGCCTGGTATGGCAGGTAAATATTTTAGATGCCAGCCTGTTCTACATTTTGTGTTTCAGGCCAACCAAGGCCTGGATAGTCCTGTTTCAAAAAAAACAGTGGATAGACAATGATAGTCCTTTCTCAAAAAAAACAAAGCCACTCAACATCGGGTATGGTGGTGCATGCTTTTAATCCTAGTTCTCTGGAGGCAGAGACAGGTGGATCCTTTTTGTTCAAGGCCAGACTTGTCTACTTTTTGAGTTCTAGGACAGCTAGGTCTATATAGAGAGGCCTTGTCTCAAAAACAAACAAAAGCCCTGTGCTCATAAGTTTATAGTCTTTATTAATTAGGATTGCTTTTCTTGGAAAAAATAGCTAACATAATAAAGCCCAGCAAATGAAGTACCAATGACAAGGTCTTCATGATCAAATGTGATTTTCATTTTTAGAATAAGTCCCATAAGTCTTTTCGTTTCTCTAGGTGACAAGCAGGAGGACATGAAGACTATTTTAAAGGATACAGTTCCAAGCAAAGGAATAGATTATAGTGGCCTTTGATGCTTATAATCTGCTACCAATTAGAGTAGATATTATAGGTAAATAGAACTTAGGATATCTGAATTCCAGTTAAGAAATTAAAGGACTTTGCTGACTGACAGAGAAAATCCTCTTCAATTTAAAAATATTATGATGTCTCAATAAAGAGATTTGCATTGGTAGTGGTTTATTTCCTTGGTATTATTTGTATGTGGTATTTAAAGAAATTTCCCAGAAGAACAGTTAATTTTAGTGAATCTCAAGTTTAAATGAACAACCTTCTACTGATATCAATGCCTTGATTAAATATCACAAACAAATACATATGAAGTAGAAGAAATCTAGCTGGTAAATGACTCAGCTCAAATATAAGAACATTTTCATAGCCAGGCACAGTGGAAATTCCAGGACTGGGGAGGCATTGGCAGGTGGATCTCTGTGAGTTTGAAGCTAGCCTGATCTATATAGTGAGTTCCAGTAAAGCCAAGGCTACATAGTGAGACCCTGTCTCAAAAAATGTACATATATGTATATATTGTATATGTATATATATATTCACCTATATAAAGTATATAGAAATTACAGGAGAAAATATAACACAATTTTTCTTTCTCTTGTTAAGGCACTGTCATTTAAAAATGAACTTGGAGTAATCAAAATAAAATTCAGTTTTATAATATAAAAGTATGGCAAGTAATGTCAAGTAGCAGTGGAAATGTGTGTTTCTGACAAGTAAGAAGGAAAAATGGCAGTGATGTGCTTTGTCCATCATCCTTAATGAAAGAGCTGTAGTTTAAGTTGTTTAAAGTAGTGGATACAAAGAATATTGTTACAAACTGTGTTGACATTTTTAAGGGATGTAGGTGTAATGGTATCAAAAGTATACTCACTCTAGGCATGGGAGCATATGCCTGTAATCCCAGTATTTAGGGGGCTGAAGCAGGAGGATTGCTATGAACTTAAGGCTAGTTTGGGCTCTACAGAGTGAATTGAAGGCCAACTAAGGGGCTATATTGTGAAACTCTATCTCAAGATAAAAACCAAATGATAATAAAAATAATATGCTCAAAAATGTTTGCTTTTGTTTTGTTGGGTTTTTCTTTTGTTTTTGTTTTTTGATTTGTTTTGGTTTTGGTTTTTTGAGATAGGGTTTCTCTGTGTAACTTTGGAACTTGCCCAGAAACTCGCTCTGTAGACCAGGTTGACCTTGAACTCACAGAGAACTGCCTGCCTCTTCCTCAAGTGCTGGGATTAAAGGCTTAGCTATCACCACCCAGCTCAAGATTATTTCGATACCTGTATTTATAATAATATGGAGTGCTGATGAATTTATGTTAAAAGTTGTTCTGGTATGTTGCATATAATAAACTTGGTAAATATTTATATAGTTTTTATTTAATGAACCATATATTTAAGTTTAAATGAAGCCAATAAAGGAAAACAGATGTACAGGGAGATGATTTTCTTCTGTTATTATTGTTTGTTTTGTGTTGCTTTTTAAATTTTTTACATTTATTTCTTGTTTGTGAAAGAGTCAGTTGTCTGCTGCTACCATGTGATTTCAGGGATTGAACTCAGGTCATCAGGTTAGGCTTTACCTACAGAATCATCTCACTGGCCTTCTGTTGTATTTTTTTGAGATGGAATCTCAAGTAGCCAAGGCTTGCCTCAACTTGTTTATGCAGCTGAAGATGACTTTGAACTGATTTGTGTGCCTCTACCTCCTGAGTGCTGGGATTACAAACATGAACCATGGAAACATAGCTTTGAAATTAAAGTTAGATTTAAAAGATAGTATATGAAATGTGCAATATAGGAAAATAAGAAGACATTTGGATATGAAAACTAAACCAAGTCCTCTAGGCCATTTGATGTCTTTTACGCACGCACGCACGCACGCACATTTGGTTTTTTGAGATGGGATTTTTCTGTGTAGCCCCGACTGTCCTGCAACTAGATTAACTCAAATTGACAGAGGATTAGGATTAGGGTATTTGCCAAAGCTGCCCCCGAGTGTTTTGGATTAAAGGCATGTGTACCACCATCACCTGTGCATATATTTTTTAAAATCTAAATTGACAAAAATGCTAATTAATTTGTTACTTGTTAATTCAAAATCCACTCTAAAACGGGATTATTTTAGCATTATCTAGTTACTCATTCCCTCATAACTTAGAGCTAGTAAAAATTATTACCTAATCTACATGTGTAACAATTAAAAGTCAAAGTAAACTTAATTTTTATCAGTAGTTGAGGAACAATATATACAATCTGGACTTTATAGTCACTTCTTTATCAGATATAGCAGGGTGTACTTGTAGACTTAATACTCCCAAGGGCTGAGGCAGAACAATTGTAATTTTGAGATCTGTGGACCTTGTCTCAAAATAAAATTTAAGAGGAAAAGAGTCATTTTCAATTGTAATTCCTTTTGTTGTAATCCAGTTTAAACTTTCCAGAAGGTTGATAATCCACACTTAATTTTTTTTTAATGTTTTAAATTTGCTTTATCTGTGTTCTGTATGTCTGTGCACCACTTCTGTGCTTCATGCCCATGGAAGCCAGTCTGGGGAATCAGATCTCCTGGAACTGGAGTTCTAGAAGCTTGTGAGCCCGCCCTTCCCCCATCTTCCCATGTGGGTCTTGAGAATTGAACTTTGGTCCTCTGGAAGAGGAGCAAGTGCTCTTACCTTCTGAGCCATCTCTCCAGGTCCCACACTTAATTCATAATGTAGATTAAAGTTTTCTATTGTGTTCTATTGATAAAACACCTATTTTTAAATTGATTATATGGCAGCTAAGTGACTTTCTGAGTTAATTTAAAAGAATGGTGAAATAGAATCTGTCATCACTTTTTTCAACCCTTTCTTAGTAATAAGTCAACTGGACTAGCAGAATTCACATTTATGTACAGAGTATAATTTAAACATGAACCTTGAGTATAGGTAAGAAAACTACATAGAAACAAAGTTATCAGATAGCAACAATTTCAGTACTTAGGTGAATGTAGTAAGTTTGCACATTAACCATACTAAGATTACTAACCATATAAGCAAATTCCTTTTAATGCCATTTGGTATAATGCATGATTAGAAACTGTTTTATCATTCATGCTTGTAGCTGGCAAACTTGTCAGAGAAGAATAATGATCTTGCTGCTAAAACTTTATCTTTTGCCTTTGACTATTAAAGTGTTTAGTTTCTAATTAAAATATTTCTGCCCATTGGTATATTTTGTTCTTCTTTACACCTAAAATACTATAAGATTTTCCCTTTCTTTCTTTCTTTCTTTCTTTCTTTCTTTCTTTCTTTCTTTCCTTCCTTCTTTCTTTCCTTCTTTTCTTTTCTTTCATTTTGGTTTTTTCAAGACATAGTTTCTCTGTGTAGCCTTTGCTCTCCTGGAACTCACTTTGTAGACCCAGCTGGCCTTGAACTCAGAGATCCACCTGCCTCTGCCTATCTTTTGGTGGAATCATTTAAAGTGTGTGGGGTGTGTGTGCGTGTGTGTTCATGTTCATGCGCTTGTGCTTGTATACATGCTTGCCACAACACATGTGGAGGTCAGAGGACAGTTGCAAGAGTCTGTTCTCTTCTTCTACCCTTTGATAGAGTTTTTAATGGCTTTCAATAAAAGATCAGGATCCTTTTAATCATCTTATGGGACTTGTTTCTTTTTTCCACAGTTCACATGAATGGTTAAGAAAAATACCTTCGTAATCTCATGGAAATTAGAAAAAAAACAAAGCCATTGGGAACTAAACTTCATTAGTTTTATTATCTTTAATGATTACAGTGGGTATTCAAGGTTGAACTTGCCCAGGATAGGTTGTGCTGTCTAATGTAACTGAAACGAACCTGTACTTTAGAAAAATTGAAGTAGTGTTAGTGTCCATGAGTGCTGAATTATCATTATTTATTATAACATTAATATTAAGTCCTTAAAATAAGTATTTAATTAGTTGATGCTGATTCATTTTTCTGTTTCTTTAATAGGAACATGAATCTGAAGGTGGAAGAACACCTTTGATGAAGGCTGCAAGAGCTGGTCATTTGTGCACTGTTCAGTTTCTTATTAGCAAAGGTAAAGCAAGTTTAAGTGGTTGTGACTGTGAAACAGATAGATAACTTTGGGAGTTCCCTTATGCTTCTGTAACTAAACAGAATACTTAGTCATACCCAGCAACAACCCTGCTCATATAATCAGAATTCCCAGGAACAGGAACACATTGAATACTGGCTTTCTACCTTGTAGGAGTTGCTAAATAATTCCATTGTCTGAATTTATTGTTAAACAACTTAAAAAATAGTCTCGTTTTATAAGACTATTTGACCAGGCATGATAGCACATGCCTTTAGTCCCAGCACTCAGAAGACAGAGGCAGGTGGATCTCCTGTAAGTTTGAGGCCAGCCTGGTCTACAAAGCAAGTTCCAGGACACTTAGGGCTACTCAGAAAAACCTTGTCTCAAAAAAACAACAACAAAAAACACTCATTATTGTTTTATCTTTCTCAAAAGGTTGTTTTTAATTTTAATTTGGGATTATGTTTAATTGAATATTAAATATAATACAATAGTAGTTTTGTTTTGGGGGCTTTTTTGTTTTGTTTGTTTGTTTTTGTTCTTGTCTTACATACTAGTTTGGAGTCAGAATTAGTAGTTACCAGGGAGGGGAGTAGCTGAAAAGGTGCACATGGTGGGACTTTTGATATGTGGATAGTATTCTATTTCTTGATATGAATTCTGGTTACATAGATGTGCTTGCTTTGTGAAAATTTTCAAGCTGTATACCTATGATTTGTACATTGTTTTGTATCTGTATCATACTTGCAAATCATCTTTAAATGATATTCTATAAACTGCCTTGATTTTATGTTTGTTAAAATGACGATTTTTCTTTAAAGGTGCCAACGTGAATAGGGCTACGACCAATAATGATCACACAGTAGTGTCACTGGCATGTGCAGGTGGTCACTTGGCAGTAGTTGAACTACTCTTGGCTCATGGAGCTGACCCTACTCATCGACTCAAGGTATTCTACTTGTTTTGTTTTGTTTCTGTATGTAATTCTGGATATCTCTAGAACTCACTATGTAGACCAGGTTGGTCTCAAACTCACAGAGATCCTCCTGCCTCTGCCTCTCAAGTACTGCATGTAGCACCACACCCAGCCCAAGGTATTTTACTTAAGTTTATCTTAAGCAATATTAGAGTAAGAAGATTGTCAGTAGGTATGCTGAAGCAGTACTGTTGTCAATTCAAAGCCATCGTGGGGTAAATATTGAAACCCTGTTTTAAACAAACACAAACCACCAAATAAGGTATATTATAATCAAAGGTATGCTTGATCTTTTAATGCTTAATATTTATTATTGTTAAATGAGTTTTGAACTGCCTGTAGAGACAATATTTGGGAATCCAAAGGAGCAGAATTGCCTTGAGTCCAAAGTAATTTTTGGGCTAGATAGCAAGACTCTCAAAACCTGAAAATAAAATTATTACATTTGATTTTATGTGTCTTACTAAATAATTTTATCAGATTACAAGAAGATTTATAAACAATTAACTATGGTCAATTCTTTCCTAGGATGGATCAACAATGCTTATTGAAGCTGCAAAAGGTGGCCATACTAATGTTGTTTCTTATCTGTTGGATTATCCAAATAATGTTCTGTCGGTTCCCACCACAGATGTGTCTCAGCTTACCTCTCCTTCACAAGATGAATCTCAGGTAAAGTAAAATAGAATGTTTCTTGATATAAGTATTCTTTGAAAGTTTTTGTTTAATGAAAGACATAGTTCTTTTCTACTAAGTTATCCTGGACGTATACTCCAATTCAATAAATATGTTGGAATTTTATTTTCTCTTTTACAAATTTAGAGTTTGAACAAGAGTAAATTGGCCAGTATATAGTGAGTATGTGGCTTATACTCTAAAATTGGAGCTGCAAGGCTTTCACTTTAGCAAGAGATGATACTATTAATATTATTTAACCTAAATCATTGTCTTCTTATTCAGTATTCCCAGAAATTATTCTTTGCTGAAGGTTTAAGAAAAAATTTTTAAACTTTAGTAAATAAAATGAGGGAGTAGGAAAAATGATCAAGTGGCCGTCAAAAGCCACTTGTTACTCTTGCAGAGGACCTGGCTGTGGTTCCTATCACCCACATGATGGTTCACAACCATTTATAACTCCAGTTCCAGGGGACCTCATGCCTCCTTCTGACTTCCAAGAGTACCAGGTTCACATGTGGCACACATACATACATTCACGCAAAACACTCATACACATAAAGTAAACCTTAAAAAGAAAATAAATGAACTTGATGGTATAAGAAGAAAACATAAAGCAATATGTGTTTTATTTATGGACCTTTGTTTTCTTCTATGATCTGAGATGACTTTTTTCTGAGTTGACGTTTTAGGTTCCACGTGTACCCATACACACACTTGCCATGGTTGTGCCTCCCCAGGAACCTGACAGAACTTCCCAGGAGACGTCTCCTGCTCTTTTAGGAGTACAAAAAGGTTAGTTGTTGAATTATTTTCCCTAAAATGGATACTTTTCAACTAATTAATAAATTGTACTTTAATTGTATAGAGACATAAATTACCTGTGGCTGAGATACATGTAACTTTGACAAATGTCAATATTGTTAGAGATGCTTAAAATAAGAAAGTCCTAATTACTAAAAAAAGTCTTACTGTTTTCCTATTAACATACTGCTAGATGTAGTTTTCCATTGGTAAAATTACTTAAGAAATAAATTAAGCCTTTTATTATATTGAAATAGAAAAATCTGTCAAACTTTTTTTTTTTCTTCTATTTGATAGCTCTTGTTTGTTTTTCAAGACAGGGTCTTGCTATTTAATTGTTGCTGGCCTGAAACTTAGCACTTGGACCAGGCTGGGCCTAATCTTGTGGCACTCATTCTGGCTCTGCCTCAGTGCTGGAAATATGAGCATGTGCTACCACACCTTTTTATTAGACAACATTTTAGCCAAATTGTAGTGTAATAATAAAAATGTGTGCTGGCTACCCCAATAAATCTTTATAGCATCAATTTAATTAACGAGAAAGAGGTTGAAGAATTGTAGTTTTATTTGTATAATCCAGGAGTATAGTGGGTGAACCTGAGCAAATGATTATCTATCAGTTTGTGAATTTGGATGATTAATTATCAAAATGTATATGAATAAATCCAGATGACTTTGTTAATGAAATAAAATTTTTGTCATTTAAGACAGTGCTTTACATTATAACTCAGGCTGGCCTGGGATTATAGGCCTGAGCCCCAGATGATTATTAAGAAGAATGTACTCTGTTTCAAGGACTCAAGCTGTTCTTGTTTTGTTCTCCTGTCTTTTCATTTGTAGATAATAAGTATTTTCTCTTGATAATTATATGTGGTAATATCTGAGTTTGCTGAAGTAATTTCTAGGACTTTAAAAACTATGTAAGAGTTGGAACTATTGCGTAATGGTGAAACACTTATGTAGCATACATAACGCCCTGGATTTTATCATCAATAACTGTTACCCAAAATACTTAACATAAAAAATTTTATGACTCAAAATCTTACTTTGTATATGATAAAGACTATTGAAATCACAATTAGATATGTAAGTATATATTAATGTAGCCACCATGCCTATCTTCCTGCTGTTTTTAATTTTAGCAAATAAAACATACATTTTTAAAATAATCTGAGCATCATAACCAGCTAATACCCTTTTCTAAAATATTTTAAAGTACCTCTGGGTTCTTTTTTTTTTTTCAGATTAAATAAATTATTACTGTGTTTGTGTGTCCACATGATGTGTGTGTTGCGGGGGGGATGCATGTGCCACAGTACATGTGTAGAAGTCAGAGAACAACTTTGTGGAATGGGTTCTCTCCTTCCAACTTTACTTGTGTTCTAGGGATCACTCAGGCTTGCAGCAACCACCTTTGCCTTCTAGGCTACTTCAATGGTTCTGTTTTTTAGGTTTTTTGAGAGAGGGTCTCATTGTGTGGTGTAGGGTAGTTCCACCATCCTGGTGTGTCTGCCTCCCAAATTTTGGGATTACAGGTTCATGCCTGTGTATCTGGTTTGTCTTTGTGTTCAAATGGCTAAACCCTAGAAAGGACTATAAGAGTTTGAGTTTCAGAAATTCAGTATTTAACAGGAAATTACTTTTAAAAGTTCACACAAAACCACAAAATAACCAAAAAAACAATCTAGGCAAACTGTTCAGAGAAGAAATAGAGCATTTTAAATCTAGAGCTAGTGTGTAACAACAAAAACCTTAGCTGGTGATCTTTATGTTGATGGTCATAAGCACTGTTTTTGCTTAGAAACTATCATACTAAGAATCCACTTCTTTCTTCCATTTTGATTTACTGTTTTACTGAATGGTATAAAAATAATCTTCTAGAGACACTTATTTTGCTAAATTATTAAGGAAGGACAATAGTTAGCATTTGTATCTGAACACTTGGACACATCCTCTTTATTACCTAATAATTATAAAGGAACATATTATGATAATATATTGTGTTAATCTATCAGGTTAGTTTAAAAATCAGACTCATTATAGAGTATATGTCCCTATAAATTCTGTGTTGTTTTGTTTTGTTTTTTAAGTCACTTGGAGGCTGGAAGGTGGCTTAGCAGTTAAGATTGCCACTCTTCCAGAGAACCTGAGTTTGATTCTCAAGACCTATGTTGGACAACTCACAACTACTTATAACTATAATTGCAGAATCTCCAGTACTCAGTTTCTATCACCTGTGGGCACACATACAGATAAATAAAAATAAAAACTTTCAGAATTAGAAGTCATTTGGATTAGGTGTGGTGATGCAAATCTTTATTGCATCATTTGGGAGGCAGGCAGATCTCCAGTTTGAGACTAGCCTAGTCTATATAACAAGCTCCAGCCCATCTAGGACTGCATAGCTAGAGTCTGTTTCAGAAAAAATAAATAAAAGGGGGCAATTTGATGATATAAAAAGCATACAATAGGCATAGATAGGTTAGATATAAAAGTCCACTGCAAAACAAAGATGTATTAAGTTTTTAAAATTTCATTGCATTTATCTGGTATATGTGTGTATGGTCATATACATAGGGTGTATGGGAAGGTCGGAGGACACTTTGCTGAGTTGCTTAGTGTATAGAAAGCCCTTGGTTCAATTCCTAATACTTCAAGTTTAGATTTTATCTTCTTTTTCTTTGTAGTACTTAACTGTTGAACCCAGGACCTCACATAGAGTAGGCAAACACTCTGCTATTGAAAAAATATATACCCCTAGCCCAACATTTCTTTTGTATAGCTCAAACCTTCTTGGGAAGTAATTCCTTTTCTAAATTCCTTTTAGTTCCTTCTGACTTGTCACTTCCTTTTCTTTCAAGACTTCAAGTGCAGGGTTGAATTAATCACACTCAATTCCTAGTATTTTATTTTCTTGTATTATTTTCTCCTCCATTATTTCCCCAGTGTGTCTGAAGTCCATATTCTTCATCCTAGAAGTTCTTATAAAATGCTCACTATTTTTTTCCATGTTGATTTCTTCTTGAATCATTCTCCATCTTGTTTATTGTTTTTGTTTTTAAGATTGATCAGTCACTGAACCTGGAGCTCACCAATTTTGACTAGGCTAGCTGGCCATCAGCCCCAGTGATCCTCTTGTCTCTACCTCCCCATTGGTGAGATTACTGGCCTGGGCTGCTATATCTAACTTTTTATGTGGGTATTAATAATCCAGGTTAAGGTCTCCTGCTTGCATAGCAAGCACTTTACTGACTGAATCATACCATGTGGGGGGAGGGGGGCGGCAGGGGGCAGGCTCACACACCTGAGTCCAAGCAGAAGATTAGAAAGGAGTTCAGAGCCAAGTTTGGCTTATGGGATTGTCTCCAAAATGAAACTGACGTAATTAAAGAATACAATATATAATTTAAAATAATATGTACTTTAAAAAAATCAAGACATGATAATGAACCTGGCATGGTAGCACATTCTTTAATCCTAGCTTCAGTGAAGTTGAAGCAGGAGGATCACTGTCAGTTCAAGACTAGCCTAGACTACAAGCAACACCCTGTTTCAAAATAAAACCAAACAAAAGGGCTAGATGTGGTGGTACATGCTTTTGATCCAACACTTAGAAGGTAAAGGCAGGTGAGTCTCTGAATTAGTGGCCAACCTGGTACTCAGAGAGAGTTTCAGGCCAGCCAGTGCTGCACAGTGAGACTGTCTTTAAAGAGCAGTTTTACAAATTGTACTTCACATTGACAATGTTTAGAGAGATCTAAACAGACGTGTAAGGGAAAATGTGTGCCGCCTTACCTCCAAAGTTGTTTATCAGAGTCAGTGTCATGAACTCTCAGATTTTTATGAGAAATTATTAAATTATATAGAAAAACTTATGTATATTGTAATTCAAATTGAATTTTCTTCTGTAAACTTTACTAACATCTCTACTAATTTTTAATCATGTAATCATGTTTATGTAAGTTTATGCATGCCCAAACTTACCAATGTGCTTTTACATATAACTGCTTTTAGTAAAAGAATGTGGTTGGGTGAATCTGTTGTCATGTAACACAGATGGTCTATCTTTGGACATTTTGGTTAAGAGATTTCTACATTAAAACTGGAGATAACAAATGTTTTCCTTTGGTCATTTTTTAAATTGTATATTGTACTAATTCATTGGTACAGACTTGAAAACAATAAGGTTAAGCTCATTTTAGTAGAGGACTAAATGTTTTGCAAGTGCATATCTCACTTACCTATTGCCCATAAATAAGTTAATGAACATATATCAGCGATGGGGCGTTGTAGCTCAGTGGTAAAACTTCTACTATGCACAAGACTCTGGATTCTCTCCCCAATGCTGCAACAGAAGAAAGGGTCTGGAGATGTATCTCAGTGGTAGAATGCTTGCCTGTCATTCACAAAACCCTCAGTTCAATTTCCAGCAACAGAAAATCCCCAAAAAGCAATAATAAAGGTGATTGCAACCTGCTATAGACCACAGTTTCTAGTGTATACTTTTTCTAGTTTTGTTACTGGAGGTGGGGGCTTAGAGGGAAAAAAAAGCATAGGATAGAAGCCAAACCAAAAGAGATGGCGACTGCTTCTATTTCTGAATTGTACTTGATATGTCAACTTCATGATATCCATGTACAGATTCCTATATGTGTGTTTGTACATGTATATATATCTGACAGTGGAAAATGTTTGAAGAGGTTGGAAATCTTATTTCCTGGTATCTTTTAATACTTACTCCATATTAAATTTTTGTTGTCAATGAACCCTTGTCAAAATTTTACCCACTGACTGGTATTTCTATAGCTTCAGGTGACATTCTGTTTTTACCACCCTCGGTTTATGGAGATATTATAAATTGTTTTAGAGCTTACAGTTTTAATACCACAGCTTTGAATATTTCAACTATTGACTATTTGAAGGAACACTGCTTTTTATGCATCGTATTTTAATGTATTATGTTTCTAATTTTGTTGTGTATGTGTACATGTGCACCTGCAACATGTCATGATGTGTGGAAGTCAAAAGACAACTTGCAGGAATTGACTCCATTTCCACCACATAGGCCTCAGGGGTCAAACTCAGGTTATTAGGCTTGTAGCACTGTCGTCTTTCTAGCCCATTGTCGTACATTAATGTGCATGAGTGTGTGACTGAGTGTATTTATGTGTACCATGTGCATGCAGTGCCCATGAGCACCAGAAGACGTTGGATCCCAGGAACCTTAGTTAACAGGCAGTTGTGAGCTGCCCAACATGGGTATTGAAACTGAACTCAGGTCTTCTGGAAGAACAGTGACCTTCAGCCCCCACATAATACCCTTTTAATGCTATATATGTTCTATACATACTTCTCTGTTCTATGAAATGTTTCTTTTAGTTCTCTTTTAGTACTATTTCTAACACAGTTGAGTGTGACATTAGTATATCTTTCTGTCCTTAACATTCTTCTCTTGTTTTGGATCATCTTACCTATGAATGTCCAAGGTGGGCAGCCTTAATCCCGGTGCAAGCACAGCTATACTAGGAAAGTTTGAAGGAATATGCAATCTTTGCTGAGCCTTTACATTTACTCTGCTTTTGTCATTACATTTATTCATGAAACTGAAATTTTTACTTGCTGTGCTAGTGGATTTATACATTGCTGTTTGTTCCAATTTTCCCTCCTTTTTCTTTCCTGTAATTGTTACAACATTTGGCTCTTGTAAGGTCTTATGAAACTAATAATCAAATTATCTCTCAAATCTAATGGCTTTTGCTCTGAAAGAATAGTCTTTTCCTACTATTTTGCTCAAGTAGGTACATGAAATCGAATATGGCATGTTTTGCTGAATTTGCATTAGGGAGTAAGTAAGCCTCTGAAAGTAATTACAGTGTCATACTGAAACTTGTCTTCTGACCAAGGGGAAACCTTGGGTCCTTTTAGTAAATTACAACGTATACTGCATATACTTGAAGTACCTGAAGTTTTTAATCTTTTGGAGATGTGGGCTTAATTGTGTTGGCCTTGAATTCCATATTCACTTCCTTCAGTTTGCTAAGGAACTGGTAATATAGGTGTGTGCCATCAGGCCTGGCATGTAGTTCTAAGATCTCTTATTTTCTTTTAGTGTGTAAGTCTTTTAAACTTGAGAATGATTTTTCTTATAAGATGATTATTCTTTTAAATTTTCTTGTGTGTGGACTGGCAAATAGCTCACAGGGAAAAGTCATTTGTCTCCTAGCTTGATGACCTAAATTTGATCCCTGGGTGCTTTATGGTAGAAGGAAGAAAATTGATGACTGCAAGACTACAAGTTGTGCTCTGACCTCCACAATATGCTGTGACATGAACACACACACACACACACACACACACACACACACACACACATTCTCTCCTCCCTCTCCCTGAGCAAACAAACAAATAAATAAAATGTTAGGGGAAAAAAATTCCTGAATGTGGTGGTTCATACTTGACCTCTGGCACTCAAGATAGTGGAGCCTTGGGATTCTGAGTTTGAGGCCAGCCAACTGAGACTCAATCTTACACAGAAAGAATAAAACAGGGGCTGGAGAGATGGCTCAGAGGTTAAGAGTGCCGGCTGCTCTTCCAGAGGTCCTGAGTTCAATTCCTACAACCACATGGTGGCTCACAACCACCCGTAATGAGATCTGGTGCCCTCTACTGGTGTGCAGATATACATGGAAGCAGACTGTTGTGTACATAATAAATAAATAAAATCTTAGAAAAAAAAAGAATAAAACAAATCTTAAGTGACCTATTTGGTTTTTAATGTTAACTACAATTCAGAAGATGAGTCAGCTATTTCACCCAGTTCTTCTTTAAAAGAGAAAAAGCTTTACTGGAGATATGGCTGTGTGGTATAGAGCAGTTGTTCTTGCAGAGGACCTGGGTTTGATATCCAGTACCCAAAAAGCTGCTCACAAGCTCTGAAAACTCCAGTCCCAATGGATCTGACCCCCTCTTCTGGCCTCTGTAGGTTCCAGGCACACACAGACATACTTGCAGTCAAAATATCCATACACATAAAGTAAATTAAAAGAAAATTTAAACTAAAAGTAGCTTTATTGTTTTTAACTGTCAAGGTCACTCATTTTAAAATATGTAATGCAGTATGTTTTGGTAAATTAGCCGAGTTCTGTGACAATCGTTACCATCAAGTTTTGAGGAGTCCTCATTGTTACTCCTGATGTCGAGACAGGCTGGTATCGAAGTCCTGATCCTCTTGTCTCAGCCTCCTATTTGAGATTTCAGACATTCACTACTCCACACAGTTCCCACTTAGCTTTAACTGCCCCCAAAAGATTGGTTGCCTGTTTGCATTTGAACCTTATTCTCATGGCCACACCCCAAGGCTACTTTCTTTTCTATCTTATATTTGCCCTTTCTCTGTAAATTTTGTGCTAATCGAAATTTTACAATATATAATTTTGTATCTGGCATCTTTCATTTAGCCTGTTTTTGAAGTTCATCTATGTTGTTAGATGCATCGGTAATTTGTCCTCTCTCCCTCACAAGTAGTCCTAGTTTTTCCTGAATAAAATTCAGCCCTGAATTTGCTCAAACAAATCAAGAAGTACATCAAAATTTTTATTTATCCCCTTTAAGGCTCTTAATAATTGTTTTTCAGTGGATTTGTTATGAAAAACGAACAAATATATTTAATAATCTTAAATAATTTTAAATATGTTATCAATATGATTATACCTATGTGGAACATCTGATTTTTTTCCCTCCCTATTAGTAACATGCATTGTTTCCTCTCTTAGGTGGATATTGTTTGAAAGGTTTATTTAAAATTAGTTAATTATCCTTTGTTGTATGAGTTCAATTTAGTGTTTAGGTACAGCAATGTTAGACTTTGTTGTTGTTGTTTTGGGTTTTTTTGTTTGTTTGTTTTTGTTGTTGTTGTTGTTTGAGACAGGATTTCTCTGTATTGCTTTGGAGCCTGTCCTGGAACTAGCTCTGTAGACCAGGCTGGCCTCAAACTCACAGAGATCTGCCTGCCTCTGCCTCCTGAGTGCTGGGATTAAAGGTGTGTTCCACCAACACCTGGCTGCAATGTTAGACTTTTTAATGGAGAATTTTACAAAGACTCATCTTTGGTTTATTAAGAACAAGGTTCCAGGTAGCTCAGGCTAGCCTCAAATTCAGCTATGTAATTGAGTATTATCCTTAATCCCTGATTCTTCTACCCTGTTCTCTTGAGTGTTGACTTTATAGGCGTATGGGCTACCATGCCTGTCTAAAGAAGACAGTGTCTTAAGAAACTGATTTCACATTGTATTTTAATGTAAGAATAGAACTATTTTGCCAACTTAAAAAATATTTACCCTTTTTTCTTCTCTTGGAGTAAACTTTACTTGTATAATTATTCCTAAAATAATTGTTCTGAAAGAGCAATTAAACTAACATTAATTTTGTTCTGAATGCCATTTTGATTCTGGTTTATATTTGATTTTTTTTCTTTTGTTCGTTGTTTTTTGTTTGTTTGTTTTTGTTTTTCTTTGAGCCAAGATATTCACTGTGTAGCCCTGAATGACCTAGAATTTACTATATAGACCAGGCTGCCCTGAAACTCACAGAGATCCCTCTGCCTGCCTCTGCCTCTGAGTGCTGGGATTAAAGGCATGTACTCACATGCTCAGCTAGGCTTAAAAAGTCCAACCTGATCAGCAAAATCTGTTCTTTTTCTTCCCTTTCTCTTTGTCCCATCATATTTCCTAAAATACTCCTATGTGTAAATGTAGATTTTTTTTTTGGTTCAGTTTTTTAGTTGATAACATTCCAGTTTATGCTGTGTGAAAACAGTTGAGATAATTCAGGTTTAATTTATTTACCTCACACTGGTGTGACTTTTGAATCATTCTATAGCATTAGTTATAATGGCTTGGGAAAGGAAGCCTGGGAGAGGGGAGGGATATTTTTTTGTGTGTGTGTTTTTGTTTTGGGGACTCTGGTATTTGGTTGTTTTTTGGTTTTGTTTTCTTTTCTCTCTTTTTGTCTTTCTCTTTTCTTTTTCTTTTTTCTTTCTTTTTTTTTTTTTTTTCTTTTTAGCATGGCACTTTTTCAAACATTTTTCATGTGCTTAGGTGCATCCAAGCAGAAGTCCAGTTCCCTGCAGGTAGCAGATCAGGACCTACTGCCATCTTTTCACTCATACCAGCCTTTGGAATGCATAGTAGAGGAGACTGAAGGCAAGCTGAATGAACTGGGACAAAGAATTAGTGCTATTGAAAAAGCACAGCTTAAGTCATTGGAGTTAATTCAAGGAGAGCCTCTGAACAAGGATAAGATAGAAGAACTTAAAAAGAACAGAGAAGAACAAGTCCAGAAGAAGAAGAAAATACTGAAAGAACTACAGAAAGTAGAAAGGCAGTTGCAGATGAAAACACAGCAGCAGTTTACCAAAGAATACTTGGAAACCAAAGGTCAGAGGGAGACAGAGTCTCAACAGTGCTCTCATAGAGGAGTCTCCGTGGCAGGCGAAGAAGATGGCAGTCTCCCAGGGGATCACTCTTCAGAATCACCCCAGGTTGATACAGTCTTATTTAAAGATCATGGTATTGGTGATGAACAATCTCCTTCAGCAGCAGAAGAAATTGATTTTGTCCCAGTCCAGCCTCTATCATCTCCACAGTGTAACTTTTCCAGTGACTTAGGTTCTAATGGGACAAATTCTCTTGTGCTTCAGAAAGTATCAGGTAACCAGCAGATCGTAGGACAGCCTCAGATTGCTATTGCTGGACATGAGCAGGGGCTGTTAGTACAAGAGCCAGATGGACTCATGGTTGCAACTCCAGCCCAGACGCTTACCGACACTCTTGATGACCTGATAGCAGGTGGGTTAAGAAATATATCTAAAAGACTTTCTCTTTAATCTGTGTGCTCAACTTCTTTAAATGCCCCTTCAAACACACAAGACTTTGTATTTCTCTATTTTAGATCTTTGTAAAATTACTTGATTTCTTAGAAATTTTGAAAGCAAATTTAATTAAGCCCAATAGCACAAACACATTAAGTGTGTTTCCCCTTTCCTATTAAAAAACACACATACATTTCAAAGACAAAGAAATAAAGTTACCACATAATCCCTTAGAAATTTGCTATCAAAGCCACTCTGTTACTTCCTGGATAAGAGCACTCCATAGAATCTCTTGTATGATTTAGCAGTATGCAGGTAAGACTACCCATTTAATTTTCTTATTCTGTGAATTTCATGTTTGAACATCAGAACTTTAAATGACACTGCTTTTTGTTATTAGACCAATTTAATTATCTCTAATTAAATGGGAAAAACCAGACATTACATGGTATAGAGTTTGTGTTCAGAAGATTAAATTATTTAAACTATTATACTTGATGTTTTGGAGATTGGAATTTTTGTGTAAACTCTTGATGAACAAACATACAAACACACTTAAGAGTGTGTGTGCATACATGTACATTCATGCACATACACACAGAAGAAGGAGTAATATTCTTAAAGTGTATGTTTCTGTTTATTGTTGTGTGGAAAATTACAACTAGATATGAAATGAGGTGCACAAGTTTACTTTCCCTTTCATTGTCCTTGCAGCAGTGGGAAAACAGTGCAATTAATCATTTACCTTCCTAAAGATGGCTGGTGAATGTATCACCTCCATGAGAGCCCAGTTCAGAATTGCAGCCAGAATGGCTGTTGACAGTGGATGAAGACCAAGAACTAAGATGTAGCTGGAGTGATATTCAAAGGCAGGCCAGTCCTCTGTCTCTTGATTGCAACATTTTTTTCCTTATTGTTGTCTGTTTCCTCTTGTCATATTCTCCTCCCCTTCCTACCCCAATTATGCTATCCCAGTTTCCTTTCTTCTTTTGTGAGCCTTTAGTCTTCTAATCTTTACTGAATCTTTAAAAATGTGGAATAAGATCAACTTAGGAATTTTTATTGGGTATATGTGTTACTTCCGTTGGTTATTGATGTCATTTTGCCTTTGAGGCTCCTATGCCCTGTAATAGTACTGTGCAGAAGAAAATTTCTAAGTTTTCTTAAAATTCAAATGCTGGGAAATATTTTAAGGAGTTAGGATCTTTATTCTTTAATTAGAATTTTTATAATTTTGGCTTATAGAGCTTCTTAAGTCAAATTTACTTTAACAGAAACAGCACTAAAGGAAACTTGTAGCTAATTTTATGCTAATCATTACAGATATTTCTTGAAAGTTATTTCACTGAAGTGTTTTTAAATAGAAATGCTCTTTTTTATAGAGTTCACATGAAACTTTAAAAAATTACCTTAGAAAACATCTTTTGGTATTATATGTTAATTGACATAATAAAACTTGACATTAGATACTCATCAGATTTTAAATAGCTTTTAACTTTTAAATTAATAAATAAAAAGTTCTATTTTCTGAAGTTTATCTGTTTTGAAATGCAT